ACGCCGCCTCCAGCTCTGTGGCCCACGCAGTGAACTGCGCAACGGCGACCTCGTCCATCTTCTCCCTGAACTCGAAGTAGCGCTGGACACGCATGAAGATCCCCACTTGCATCGTTCTAAACAGCTCGACGTCAATGGGCATCACGACGTGGCCCATCTGCGCGACCACTGTAAAAACGGCAGGCAAGGGGCGAGGGTCGTCGGACGGGTAGACGAACGAAAAGTCATCGGAGCCTGCGTCCTCAAGAGCCGCCAGCTTGATCATGATCTCTCGGCGAGTTACCGCAAGTTGGACGACGTCTCGCCCGTCGCTTGCCTGCAGGCGAGAGCGGACCCGAGCGCAGCCAGCGAGCGAGAACTTCTCATCTGGGTGGCCAGCAGGCGTTCCTCCGCCCCCGACCGAACGCCACGTTCTCTGCGGCGAGGAAGGGGCTGCGCAACTGCGCCACCTCAGCGGCGGCTGCGGGCGCAAACCCATGAGTTTTCTAATTCAGATGCGCTCAAACATTGTGTTTTCACAGGTTTGGGGCCTCCGATGGGTGCAAAACCTAAGAAAACACATGTTTTCACAACTTTTTCGCATGGATGTCTTAGGATGTCCTTGGGTTTTTTTGTTGATTTTTGTTGCATTTTTCGCATTTTTTGTATTTTCGCCTGCTTGCGGCCGGCGCCACGTCGGCCCTCCCGCTCCCTGGGGCGAGCGCGCGAAAATGAGCAAAAAAAAAAAAAAAAAAACTTATGACATCCTAAGAAAACCATGCGAAAAAGCTGCGAAAACCTGTGCTTTCTTAAGTTTTGCGCCCGTCGGAGGCCCCAACCTGTGAAAGCACAGGCATTTCGAATTCAGATGCGCTCAAACCTTGTGTTTTCAAAGGTTTGGGGCCTCCGATGGGTGCAAAACCTAAGAAAACACACGCTTTCGTAGCTTTTTCGCATGGTTTTCTTATGATGTTCTTAGGTTTTTTTGATTTTTTTGCATTTTTCGCATTTTTTAAATTTTCGCGCGCTCGCCCCAGGGAGCGGGAGGGCCGACGTGGCGCCGGCCGCAAGCAGGCGAAAAGGCAAAAAATGCGAAAAATGCAACAACAACAAAAAAAAAAAAAAAAAAAAAAAAAAAAAAAACGCGAATGACATCCTAAGAAAACAATGCGAAAAAGTTGCGAAAACATATGTTTTCTTAGGTTTTGCACCCATCGGAGGCCCCAAACCTATGAAAACACATGGTTTTCTAATTCAGATGCGCTCAAACCTTGTGTTTTCACAGGTTTGGTGCCTCCGATGGGTACAAAACCTAAGAAAACACAGGTTTCCGCAACTTTTTCGCATTGTTTTTTCTTGAAATGTCCTTAGGTTTTTTTATTTTTTTTATTTTTCGCATTTTTTGCATTTTCGCGCGCTCGCCCCAGGGAGCGGGAGGGCCGACGTGGCGCCGGCCGCAAGCAAGCGAAAATGCAAAAAATGCGAAAAATGGAGAAACAAAAAAAAAAAAAACTAATGACATCTTAAGAAAACCATATGAAAAAAGTTGCGAAAACATATGTTTTCTTAGGTTTTGCACCCATCGGAGGCCCCAAACCTATGAAAACACATGGTTTTCTAATTCAGATGCGCTCAAACCTTGTGTTTTCACAGGTTTGGGGCCTCCGATGGGTATGGGTGCAAAACCTAAGAAAACACAGGTTTTCGCAACTTTTTCGCATTGTGTTCTTAGGATGTCTCTAAGTGTTTTTGTCGTTTTTTGTATTTTTCGCTTTTTTGTATTTTCGCGCGCCTTCTCCTGGCGCTTTTCTCCCGCTCAGTCGCTCTCTTGTTCTCCCGCTCCTCCGCTCAATCGAACACCACAAAAGATTAGCAGCGCCAGCTCAAATCACGAACGACGATGAGATAGGAAAACAAAAGGGTGACGGTCAGATAAGAAAACAGAGGGTGAGGTGGATCACAGGGGGGGTGTGACCATATATATATATATGTGCGCATGCGTTTTAAGAGAGAGAGAGAGAGAGAGAGAGAGAGAAAAAAAAAGAGAGAGAGAGAGAGAGAGAGAGAGAAAAAAAAAAAAAAAAAAAAAAAAAAAAAAAAAAAAAAAAAAAAAAAAAAAAAAAAAAAAGAGGGGGGGGGAGAGGGGAGAAATAAAAATATGTCCAGGATCGCTCGGGACGTTTCGCGGCCACGCAGATCCATCGCGCGCTCTGCCATCGACGCCAGGAAAGGATGCCAGAAGCCACACCCCTTCCCCCAGAACCTGTGCAACGGGCCCCCCTGATTGGGAGATCGCGCCACTGCTGAACTAACCGAACTCGCCACTCCTCCTTCGCCCCCCCCCCCCCCCGAACAGGGTAATCAGCTCGTTGGAACGTATATACACCCATTGGATGGCGCGACCTGGAAAAGCAGACGTCCTCTTCTTAGTGGCCAGAACAGTGGACACCCAAACAGACTCGAGCTCTAACGGCGATCCACCTGGTAGTCCCCCCCTTGGCCTGCGCGGCACCAAGACTACCTCCCTCCGAGCCCTCGGGAAGCACTGCTGATAGAATTCGCTGAGGAGGTGGACCCCACGATCCTTCCCGGCCCTTCGGGCCATGACAATATTCCCAGACTCCCCGAGTCGCGGCCCCAAGAAATCCTTGAGCGTGCTCCCTAGATCCGAGAAATCCTTCTCTGATACTTTGGGCCGCTGGCTTGCTCGGCGATGTTAACGACGATGTCCCCGACGGCGATGTTAACATCGCGGTGCGGCGCTGTCCCCGATGGCCATTAACGGCGATGTCCCCGACGGCGATGTCCCCGACGGCCTGCACGAGGGCGATGCTGGCGGGACTGCGGGGGCTGAAGGGGGCCCCGATGTCTGTCCCCACGTCCGGGATGGCATGATCTAGACTCTCGTGGATCACGAAGTAGTCCACCGTGGATGCTACACCCGGCACAGCATAGGTAGGCACTACAGGAGCCCAGAGAACAGCAACCTGCTTCATCGGGGGCCCGTCGATGAAGTTTGTCGGGGACATGTTGAAGTCTCCGCCCAAGACATACCAGAGCCCACGTTGGAACGCGTCGCCCCCGACCGCCTTCATGACCTCCGAGTTCTCGCCCTTGAGGCCCACAGAGTCCTTGAGCTACAGAATAAATAGCGAAGAGGCCCAGCTCGGTGCCCCGAAAAAAGCATCTCGTGACCCGAACTCGCACAAGCTCTGCAGCAACACGTGGCGGGACCCATGTGTCACGATGGCCGCGAACACATATCACCGTACCGAATGATGGCTGACCTGTATTCAGTATGAACACATTCGGAACCGAAGACCCTCCAACCGCCTTTCTGCAATCGTGCATGCGTCCTGCGGCAGAGGTATCGAGATCGATGGTGTCCCTGACCCAAGACCACATCAGCAGACGCCTCGCGAGTCATGTCATTAAACGTTGGCAAACCACATGATGATGGGCGCTCCAGGTCCGAACTGTCCTAAAGACTCCAAAACCCAGCTGGACCCGGTGAAAGTAGTAATCCTCAAATCGTGGACTTCCGCTCGTCTGCAACGGTGTAATCTGGCTTCGTGTGGATCACATTGTGGCGGCGATCCCCCTCCAGCCGATCCGCCAGTGTGAATGATATACAGGGCTCTCTGCGCGGTCGTCACTCCCTCAGGTGCTGTCACGTGAGATGTGCTGGAGTGCTTCTGCACTGGCAAGACAGCCTTCGCAAGGGGATGCCTCTGAGACGACAACGAACTCGCCGCTGAGGTGCACATCCGAGTCGCCGAAGCCATCTGGGCCTCCAAAGGCGCCCTCGGAGAAGATCCAGCAACAAAATCAACCAAAGTTCGAGCACAACTGGCGACTATACTTCCAAGTTCGTCCAGCGGTTACATACCTCAGCGTGCCCTGTATGAGAGCCGCCGCGACCCAACGCACACAGGCTGGACAGAGGCACCGTGCAGGCCTTGGCACGCACGCCGCAAGACTGGGCGGGAAATCCCCATGCAAGCGTGAATGGCCCAAGATCCAATGGCCCAAGGTCCACTACGAACCAGCTCGGGTTTGAGCCACAGCTGCTGCGTTCTATACAACACTCAAGTAGGATAGATGGCCCCACATTGGAGCACGAAGAACTTGACCATGTAGAGAAATGACTCCAGTTGGGCTCGCACACTTCACCAGGCACAGGAGCATTATGGCTGAAGACCGAACTCGTCAGAAGAGGATGCCGCATCTCCACCTGCGGCCTCCCACGCAGCATCTGGGTGGGAGAAAATACGCACAGCAGTCGCGACGCCCACGGTAGGACGCCCTCCTGGACCAGGCGAGCGAAAACGAGGCTTCTTACTGGCTTCACGAATGGCCTCCATGATCTGACGCTTGGCTTGATCCGAAACTCCATGGCATCATGGAGGCCCGCCTCATCGATGCCAAGGACCGAATCGGAGGGGACGGGCTCTTCCGCAGCGACTGACGAGTTGAACGCGGCCCCGAACCCTTTGGACTTCGATTCAAGACTGCTCTTGGCCCCTTGAATCCCTGACAGCAACGACTGGAACTCCTGAATGTGACTGCGAAGCACACTGACATTGAGTAGCCCAGGCTGGGCAGCAACACGCTTGGCTGCCTCTTTCTTGGCCTCCTCCATCGCCCGCTTCTCATCCGAAATGGACTTCTCGAGCTCCTGGCGTTTCTGCTCCAAGTTAGCAATTTGACCGATAACCGTAGCATGAGCAGCCTCCCTCCATTATTTTAATATTCTTCTCGCGACACAATCCTTCTTGCTCGGCACGCTGGAGGTGGCGACTCGGCGGGAGCAGATCCTGGCGAGCGTCCTGCAACTCCTCCTCCTCCTCCTCCTCCTCCTCCTCCTCCTCCTCCTCCTCCTCCTCCTCCTCCTCCTCCTCCTCCTCCTCCTCCTCCTCCTCTTCCTCCTCCCTGGCGCCATGCCGGGGCGACTGTGGTGGTCTTCGGCATGCCAGGAGGCAAGGGAAAAGCAGAGCAGGGCGCTCGGGCAAACCAGGCACCTGTCCGACGAAGTCGAGGCCGCCTTCAGACATTTCCAGCAGCCACCCCAGGATCCACTGCGTGATGATGCCGGTGGACACCAGCACGACATCCATCCAGAACCAGCGGCTGTTCAAGCACTTCTCGACGCTGGCGAGCAGCCGGACGCAGATCTCAGCGGTGTAGAAGGCGATGAAGCCATCCTCCAGCCCGCTGAGAAAACGCATGTCCTCTTCATCCCTGCCGTCGACACCCCACTGAATCTCCACGCCTATCGTGAGCGAATTCGCGAGTATGATCACCGCGACCAGGGTGTCGAACTTCCTGCTTCCAGCCACCTCGGATGGAGCGCCCTCTGCCGAAGACGAAGGGCGACAAGAAGACACGATAGGCAGAGACGTTACGTCTGGCTTCGCACACTTTTTTCCCACAGCGAAACGCCACCCCAGCACAACTTCTCGCGCACCCGCCAACAATGCGAAGACAATCGCACTGCCACTGAAACCGTGAAGCAGCGCTGGCACCACGGAGAAGAAAGGGGCGAGGGTTAAGTCGGGCCTGCCCCCCTACAGAAAGATTGTGGACGAACAATAAAAAATAGTCAAAACATACCCGAATCAGTCAAACATGGTCAGAAAAATCTTCCCCTGACTATCTTTTTCCCTACCTAGGCTCTACCTAGAAGGGTTCTTACTCTCTTAGCTTAAAAGGGGCGGGCAGTGTAAACCGCCCCGGGCGGTACCCCCAGTCCCCGCCCCGCGGTTCCCCCAGTTGCGCCCCCTGGGTTCACCCAGCTTAGCTTAGCTTCAGCTTAGCTTTAGCTTAACTTTAGCTTAGATTTAGCTTAGTTTTAGCTTATATTTAGCTTAGACTTAGCTTAGCTTTAGCTTAGCTTCAGCTTAGCTTTAACTTAGCTTTAGCTTAGCTTCAGTTTAGCTTCAGATTAGCTCTAGCTTAGCTCTAGCTTAGCTTCAGCTTAGCTTCAGCTTAGCTTCAGCTTAGCTCTAGCTTAGTTTTAGCTTAGCTTCAGCTTAGCTGTAACTTAGCTTTAGCTTAGCTTTAGCTTAGCTCTAGCTTAGCGTTAGCTTAGCTTCAGCTTAGCTCTAGCTTAGCTTTAGCTTAGCTCTAGCTTAGCTTTAGCTTAGCTTTGTCTTAGCTTTAGCTTAGCTTTAGCTTAGCGTTAGCTTAGCTTTAGCTTAGCTTCAGTTTAGCTTCAGCTTAGCTTTAGCTTAGCTCTAGCTTAGCGTCAGCTTAGCTCTAGCTTAGCTTTAGCTTAGCTCTAGCTTAGCGTCAGCTTAGCTTTAGCTTAGTGTCAGCTTAGCTTCAGCTTAGCTTTAGCTTCGCTTCAGCTTAGCTCTAGATTAGCTTTAGCTTAGCTCTAGCTTAGCGTTAGTTTAGTTTTAGCTTAGCTTTAGCTTAGCTTTAGCTTAGCTGTATCTTAGCTTTAGCTTAGCTTTAGCACATGTTTAGCTTAGCTTTAACATAGCCTTAGCTTAGCTTTAGCTTAGCTTTAGTTTAGCTTTATCTTAGCTTTTCTGTTACTACTAATGCTGCTTTCCTAGGGGCTCCAACTCCTAGGTAGGGTCGCACTGGGATAGTTACTATCTTTGAATATTCCTCCTGTAGAGGGACAGGCCCGACTTAAGGCGAGGGAGGAGCAGCAACGAAGGAGGGACAGGCTGATACGAAAATGCCCCTGCTGACCTCGTACGCCTTTCTGTGCTGCCTGTCACGGGGGTGCTCTGCTGTGTGGTGCGACCAGCCTGCGGCCGACGGGTCCGGGGCAGGACGGGCCTCTCGCGGGCGCGCCCGTCGTCCTCCCCGTTCGTTGCTGCTCGCTGCGGTCTCGCGCGGGCGGGCCTCTCCCGGGCGTGCTTCGCGCTCGATGTCCCGAGCACGTGGTTCGAGCCCGACTCAGGCCCAGCATATGCACACAATTCGGGTGCAGTTCTGCATGCGGGCCACAGGCAGGTCGAACTCGATCCAAGATTCAGCGCCACGAGCATCTCGACTTGACAATCTGGGTTCCAACATATCCAAACACCCTTTACGTACACCTCAAGACTATGTGTAACTATATGCCGCTGCATGTCAAGTCAGACCAGGTTCACTGGAAAATTAATCCGGCGCTAAGTCAAGTTAAGTGCAAACTACATTAGAGTTCCACTCAAAACCAGATTCGCACTCTAGCCATGTTCAGCTCACGCATAATGAAGCTGCAGATGCCCCAAAGAGGTGCTTGCACTGATCAACCCTTACCTGGCGTCTGAAGGACTGGCCCCTGGGTCTGGATGAGCGTTTCGCGGATAGCTGGAGCGCCCAAGCCGGCCCAAGATTTTCTTCTGGAGAGCCCCAGAGAGCCCAAGACGGCCTCCAACATCGCTCAAGATACCCCCACATGGTTCAGGATAGCGTTCTACATGCTTGCCAGAGCCCTCAAGGCAGGCCCAGGACAGCTCAAAGTGCCCTCCGAGCCTCCCAAAGAGGCCCCAGGGAGGCCCAGATCCTCCAAAAACCTAAGAGCAATCAGTGCTTTGTGCGTCCTCGCCGTTTCGTGTCCGATAGGCTCTGAAGATTTTTGTTTGTTTATATTCTCTCCTGGCTCAGCCATGTCTGCACATCATTTCAGCACTCTCTTTACGGCCTACTCTCGAGATACTTTACTCCTGCCTGGAGGCTGCCCCTCGGCAACCTTGAAGGCCCAAGAGGGCCCCAAGAAGAGCCCATTAGGGGCCCAAAACGGCACTAAGAGCGCCCGGGGAACTGTAATTAAGAACCTCCCCTTTTTTGATCGATGGCCTCAAGCGGGCCCCCAAGGCCTCCAAGAGGGCCCCCAGGGAGCTCCCCGAGCGCCCCAAGAGGGACCCAAGAGGGCCCCAGGAGGGCCCAAGAGGCCTCCAAGATGACCCCAAGAGGGCTGCCAATGCCTCCAAGAGGGCCACAAGAATGCGGAACATAAATATGTAATAGATATGTTTGGAATGGTGCGAATCCGTTCCAAGGTTCCCAGGGGTCATTGGAGGGCGCCAGATGGCCAGTGGTTTCTCCAAGATTGCCCCTGCTACACATCCCTGATCAGGACAACTCGACTGACGGCTGTCGATGGATGGGCTGGTGGGGATACGCGGAGCGTCAGGAAGTTTTAAACGATTCCCAAACATTTCAAACTTCCTCGCTGGCGCACGTCATCATAATCCTCGTCAACATCGCCGCTACCAATATCACCAAGGGCTAGGAGCCGTCAATCGTCATCGAACTCACCACTGGAAAGTATCGTCATCGTCGTGGTCGTGTCTGTCACCTGCACCATCATAGCCACCACAACCACCACCACGACCAGCATCGTCATCATCATCATCATCATCATCATCATCATCATCATCATCATCATCATCATCATCAGCATCATCATCATCATCATCATCATCATCATCATCAGCAGCATCATCATCATCAGCATCATCATCATCATCGTCGTCATCATCATCTGCATAATCATAATCATCATAATCATCGCCGTCATCATCAGCATCAGCATCACCGTCAGCATCGTCGCCGTCACCATCATCATCCTCATCATCATCATCATCATCATCATCATCATCATCATCAGCATCATCATCATCGTCGTCATCATCATAATAAGATCAGCATCAGCAGCATCATCATCATCATCATCGTCATCATCATAATCATCACCATCATCATCCCCAGCATCATCATCAGCATCATCAGCATCAGCATCAGCATCAGAATCACAATCATCCATCACCTCCTCGAAATCCTCCTCCTCCTCCTGCTCCTCATCCTCCTCCTCCCCTGCTATTCCTGCTCCTCCTCCTCCTCCTCCTCCTGATCATCATCATCATCAGCAGCATCATCATCATCATCATCATCATCATCATCATCATCATCATCATCATCATCATCATCATCATCATCATCATCATCATCATCATCGCCAGAAGCAGCATTATCATCATCACCAGCAGCAGCATCATCGTCAGCATCATCAGCAGCATCGTCGTCACCATCGTCATCGTCACCGTCGTCGTCAGAAGCAGCAGCAGCACCATCATCAGCAGCAGCAGCATCGTCATCATCATCATCGTCGTGGTCATCATCATCAGCCGCAGCAGCATCGTCATCAGCATCGTCATCTGCCTAATCCTCACCATCATCATCATCAGCATCATCATCATCATCATCAAGTGAAGCAGCATCATTAGCAGCATCGTAAGTGTACTCATCATCATCATCATCATCAAATCATCAGCATCATCATCATCCGCAGCACCATCATCGTAATCATAATCATCCTCATCATCACCACCATCATCAGCACCAGCTTCATCATCGCCATCATCAGCATCGTCATCATCATCATCATCATCATCATCAGCAGCAGCATCATCATCGTCATCGTCATCAGATTCAGCATTCGCTGCCGCATCATAAGCATCATCATAATCAGCAGCATCAGCAGCAGCAGCATCATCAGCATCATCATCATCAGCATCATCATCATCAGCATCGTCATCATCATCATCAGCAGCATCCACCTCCTCCTCCTTTTCCTCCTCCTGCTCCTCCTCATCATCATCATTGTCCTCCTCCTCCTCCTCCTGATCAGTGTCATCATCACCAGCAGAAGAAGCATCATCATCAGTAGCAGCATCATCGTCATCATCATCGTCATCAGCATCATCAGCAGCATCATCAGCATCGTCTTCATCGTCCTCATCATCCCCATCCTCAGCATCATCAGCAGCAACCTCATCATCAGCGTCATCATCAT